TTTTCAACATGTAGTTCTGATTTTAGAGCCGAGCACACTCGTTTAAAAAATGCAAGAGCTTCACATATTGAGGGCGGTTCATTTTCAAAGGGTGGCTCTCGCTTGAGCGCCCCGCACATCCGTTCATAACATTTGCAAGAGTTTCACGGGTTCCCACGATCAGTTTGCCAGAAATGTGTTGTGGAAGGACTCAGGATTTTGCGGGTGCAACAGTTCTGTTGATTGACGGTGTTGAAGTCCCAAGAATGGCACTCTGGCGCGATCCAGGATCGTCAAGACGCAACGGTACGGTTGATCCGTTGCGTTGGAATCCCGAGAACAATGTTTTGGCATGCTTCTGGGTCTTCAAAAAATTGTCTTCCAACGAAGCAGATCCCTGAATGGAAATGAACCGTTGTAGGGGCATATGAAGAGGGAGCTTGGAGGGAGGGTGTATTCCAACATCGTTGATGACTCTTGGGTTACACAGGTCCTCCTCCTCCTCCCGCTCCCGTTCCGGCTCAAGGCTGTCCTCGGTGCGGCGGGATCTAGTCTCGTTGCCTTCGGGGGAATGTCGCTGCGGGATGACTTTGGGTGTGCGCCAAAGCCTGGACTGGTCAGGACAGCCAGGACAGGAACCAGTCAAGGAAGTAGGCGAAGCTGTCGGTGGATCGTGTTGTTCAGCGCCTCGGCTCCGCACTGAGGCAGCTGCATGAGTAGCGTAAGCAGCTGCCGGACGCGGTCAACCTCCTTCGGCGACCCTGATCTGGCTGACAGGTCCTTGGCACTTGCCCCAGCCCTTGGAGCGCCGCTGGCTGACCGAGTTCCGCCCCACGTCGACGTCCTCCGCAGGAATGTGGTGCTGTGTGCGGATGCGCCTGGCTGCCGCCTCTCCACGGCGCCCGCTGATCTGCTCGGGCTGCATCAGCGCGGGGCCTCGCCCGCAGAGCCGGGCCGTCGCGGCTGGCGCACGAGCAGAGGCCGAGCTCCCCTGGAAGGAGGAGGCCCCAGGGGGGGTTGTCCTCCGGCTTGCGCTGGGCTGCTGGGAGGCGCCCGTGCTGTCCGTGGTGGACCTCCGCGGGCGTGCGCGCGCGGCAGGAAGCCTCCGGGGGCGCCGCGGCTCGCCTGCCGCCACCGACATGGGCCCCCACAGCGCGGCCCCTGGTCCTGGGCCCCCTGCGGGGGGGCGCCTGTCCTTGGCGCACCATGGCGCCTGGGACGCGTGCGGCTCAAAGGGCCCCCTGCGGGGGGCGCCTGTCCTCGGCGCACCACGGCGCCCATGGGACGAGCGCGGCTTAGAGGTTCCGGGGCAGCTGCGGGGCCGGAGGCGGAACGAGCTCGCCGCGGAGGAGCTTCCGGCCTGCAGGCGTCGCCGGGGGGTGCCGCTTCTTCGGCGGCGCTGTGCGCGGCCAGGCAGAAGCGCCGCTCGGAGGTGATGCTGAGCATGCGGGCGCCGCGCGGACTGCCACCAGGCCCTGGAGATGGCCGCCTCTTCGGTGGCGCAGGCGCTGCAGGGGCGCGACCGTGCCAGATGTGGCGTCTTCGAGTGCCGGCCCCCGTTGCTCGGGTCTCGACCAAATCGAGGCCCAAACCTGGCTGCCTGGGCGCACTCAGAGTTGCAAGTTCAACATTCTGGAGCCTCTAATCATCAAGCAGTGGCGAAGCGTTCTGGCTCGCCTATAGCCCCACCAAAGAATGTTCTAAGAACCTCTCGTGGCTCCCACGAAATATTCTTAGAACCTTTCTGGCCAGGACTGTCTTGTTTTAACACATCGTGAATATGTTCTAAGAACATGGTTTTGTTCTTAGAACATTTTTGGGCTCTAAGAGCATTTCGTGGTAGGACTATAGAAATGCCGGGACGGTCGGTCCCTGCTCAATAATCGGCGTTTGTGGTGTTGATTTCAACGTTGCGGCAATACTGTTTTTACGAGGCGGTGCTTCCTTGCATTTGTCATTGAATGTGGTTTCCTTCTCGTTCGAGCCTCGTTGCCTGCTTCAGGTGGTGTTGTGGTCAATTTCGCTCTGCGAATGTCGACCGGGCGGTGGACCCGTTGAAGCTCTTCTCATCCCTGCATGCCCTTCACAGCAGGTGTCATCACCGCTGTAGAGTTGCCGTCGAGGCCCAAATAATCCTCCTCCAGTTCCTTCCTTTCCTCCTCCCCGCTGCTCCTTCTCTCCTTCCTTTTCCTGCAAGTCTCAGGCCTTGCCGAGAGGAGTGCGGCAGTGGCAAGGAGGGCCAGGAGAAAAAGAGGAGGTAGGCAGGCTGCCCCGGCGAAGCCGCTCCTCCTTACTCCTTCGCTTCCCTCCAGCGTTTCCCTTGAGTCGAATACCAAAGAATGAATAAGAAATGGACTGGGAATACCCACATCCTGCTGAGTCGATTGGCGAACTGCCTGCCTCTGTTTCTCGAGGAGGCGTTGCGGCTGCAATTTGTGCTGGCCCGCGGCTGCTGGCACTGGCCCCAGGTCGTTTTCATCAAAGGATGAAGGTCCCCAAACAGTTCTGCTCTTCTTGGTTTCAGAACTGGGCCTGGGTGTCGGTCCGGCTGGCTTGCTGTCGCCGTCGCCGCCCGCCGCCGCCGCCCGCCGCCGCTGCTTCTCGGCCGGGTTGTCGTTCGCCGCGCTTGTTGTCGCCGTCGCCGCCGTCCGTCGCCGCTCCACTGCGCCCGGGTGTCGGTCGCCGCGCTTGTTGTCGCCGTGGCCGCCCGTCGCCTCCGTCCGTCGCCACTCCAGTGCGCCTGCGTGTTGGTCGCCGCGCTTGTTGTCGCCGCCGCCGCCCGTCGCCGCCTCGTCGCCGCCCGTCGCCGCCCGTCACCGCCGCACCGTTGCACCGCCCCCGTTGCACTGCAGTTGACTGCAACGCAATCGAGTGCAGCGCAATCGATTGCAGCGCAATCGATTGCAATCGATTGCAGTATACTGCTCTGCGTAAATTGTGCCGCATAGCTTGCACCACATATAGCAATGCATAGGGGTGCACCACCTCAATTGCGCACCACATTGATGACACCACATAGCTTGCATCATACAGTTTGCACGACATCTCGAATGGCCTTCGGCCCATCCCGCCTCAGCGCCTGGGTTGTGGGCATAAGGCCTCTTGGATGTTCGTTGGGATCTCGTGGGGGGGGCCTCTCGGAGGCAGTTTTGAGACCTCTGGTTTGCCGTTTTGGGGCCTCTTGGGGCCTGTTTTGGTCCTCTTGGGGGCATCTTGGGGGCTCTTGGGGTCATTTTGGGGGCCTCTTGGGGCATCCTGAGGCCTCCTGGGAGCCTCTTGGGGCGGAAGGCTCGGATTTTGTTAGTGTTCCCTCTCTTGACTGGGGCCGTTCTGGGGCCCTCTTGGGCCGTCTTGGGCCATCTTGGGGCGATCTTGGCCGTCTTGGGGCTCTCTTGGAGGCTTCTTGGGCCGCTTTGGAGTGGTTTGGGGGGCCTTTTGGGCCATCTTGGAGCGTCGGAAAGCCGAAAAGGCGAGAACGCCAACATCCTTCAAACACCGAAAGGGAAATCAATACTCGTTGCCGCTGGGGGCATTATTGGGAGGCCTCTTGGAGGCCCCTTGGGCTTCTTGGAGGCTTCTTGGGCCATCTTGATGCCATCTTAGGCGTCTTGGAGCAATCGTTCGGCGACTCGGGGCCCTCTTGGACGCATGGGAGGGTTTGGGAGTTCGCTTGGGGGGGGGCACAGCGTCCACAGGAGGCGCAGGAAGCACTTCAGAACTCACGGGAGCCAACCCGGAAAACCCCGGAACAGCCGCCTTGGAAACGACATGTCTGGGCCGCTGGAAACTTACAATCTCGCTGCAGCAGCAGCACAGGGTCCACCTCTTCAGCGCTGCATGAGCCGTGGGGCATTCCACTTCGTGCCGGAGGCACGGTGTCGGATACTGCACCACACTGCACCACATACATTGCACCACATAGTATGCTAGGGCACACTGTTTGGTGTCCATGCTGGCGAACGTGCCGAAAGCATGTGTGTCCAACCCTGGAAACGACATAAGCGTAAACATTCGGAGGTCCGTGCGGATTTCTTGCATCGGCGCTGGGCCCTCTTGACGGCGTCTTCGGCGCCACCCCTAGCGCGCTTCGAGCGCCAGGGAAGCGGGGTCCAGCGCCATTCCGAGAAGTCCCCGCGGTATGCCGTTTCTTCGGTCCTCTATTGGAGAGAGAAGTCCCTGGGGAGCAAGATGACGCTCACCTGATTAACTCATGCACCCTACCCCAGTCTGCTCCCTCAATCCTTTCCTGCCCCCCCCTCCCATCGCCCCTCCCCTGTCACTCCTCATCGACCCCATCCTCACGTCAACCCCGTTTTCCTATAAATCATCCTTCCTGTCGCGCCACCAGACGTGTTGATAGGGCGGGCCAGGCGTTTCGCCAGAGCTTTCCTCACCATTTGCGAACCTGAAGCTTGCAACAGTTTCACGGATGGAAGGGGAGGATCTAACATGTGGTTCTCGCTTTGGCGTTGCGCACGCTCGCTTCTATGGCAACACCTTCACTGATGGAGCGGGGTGGTGGTTTTGAACATGTGGTTCTCGCCTCAGCGCCGGGCACATTTGTCCCACACGTTTGCACTAGGTTCATTGATCGAGGGGCGGGATTTTCAAAATGTGGCTCTCGCCGTATCGCCGCGCACATTCGTCTTATAACGTTACATCAGCTTCATGGGTGCAGGGGGGAGGGGCGGGGCTGTTTTCAACGTATGGCTCTCGCCTCTGCGCCGCGCACACTCGTTTTAGAAAAGTAGCAGAAGTTAGATTAATCAAGCGTGGTGATTTTCATAATGAAGCGCGCGCCTCAGCGCCAAACACATTCCTTCCATAATTCTGCGACAGTTTGACGGATGGAGCGGGGGGGGGTCCAACTTGTGGTTTTCGTTTTAGTGTCGCGCAGATTCGTCTTGAAAGTTTGCAGTCGACATGGCGTTGTCGCCGCGCATTATTTTGATAGCTCGCACTAGCTTGGCGGATGCAGGGCGGTTCCTTTTCAAAATGAGGCTCTCGCGCTAGCGCCACGA